CGGCAGTCACGCGTGCGAGCGCTTTTAAACACACATAAAAACAATACTTTCAGAAGTACCTTTATTATTCCGATAGCTTGGTGACGTTTATTCAAAGCCATCGAAGTCGTCTTCCTCCGAGTCGCTCACGAACAATGCAGCTACTTCTGGTTGCAGCACTGCTGGCACATCACTGTCGTCCTCCGACTCGCTCGAATCAGATTCTTCAACCTCGCCATCGGCCGCGCAGGGGATCAAACCGGCCTTGCGAAAGCCCGCCACAATGGTCTTCGCAGAAATTGACTCCCAAGCGTCACTCACTCATTTCGCCACTTCGCCGAACTCTGCGCGTCTCATGCGCCCCGTTTTTGTAAAGCTGTGTTCTCCCTCCGACATCCACGTTTCCCACGAACGTCGCAGAACTGCCTTGAAGCTGCGGTTGACAGAAATGTCAAGCGGCTGAAGCATCTTCGTCATGCCGCCGGGAATAATCACTGGCATACAGTTCTTTGAACTGATCTTTTTCTTGACAATATCGGTGATGTGTGCCCGCATACTGTCCATTACCAGCATTCCTGGCTTCACGTGGAAGAATCCGTCTGGTCGACGGGAAAAACAGCGGTCAAGCCACACACTCATCATTCCCTCGTCCATCCAACCTTTCGTGTTCGCCTGAATCACCACTGTAGGAGGGAAATTATCCTTCGGCAAGTTTTTCCGCTTAAATATTAGCATGGGAGGCAGCTTTGTGCCGTCCGCGCAGCAGGCGAGCACAACGGTGAAGTGGGACTTCTCGTGGCCTGTTGTCCTCACCGTGACAGTTTTCTGGCCTTTTTCGGCGATGCTTCTCCCAAGCGAGATGTCGAATGTCAGCGGCACTTCATCCATGTTAACGATGTGGCTCGCGCTGACATTCTTCTTCGCAACTTCCTCCCTCACGAATGAGCTGAAGTTGTCCAGTTAGGCCTGAAAGTCGTCGGGCAGCTTCTGGCACACTGTCGTCCAGGCTCTCATAACCAGTTGATTCCGTCGCATAAAGCGGAAACACCAGGACGGACCACCATTGAATCCCGTAACATTGCTCTCCGCTGCCAGAGCCTTCGCCTTCAGGCGCAGCTGCACTGTTGACAGCCCTCTTCCTTCGGCTCGTTGTTGCAGTACCCACGTGCGCAGGCTACGCTCGAGGTCCGGCCAGCGCGCCATCTTGCCGCGGTTGGCCTTCTTTGTCGACTTCATCGTCCGGAGGACGCTGTGGGCCTTGCGCCAGTCACGGATTATTTTTTCACACTGACGCCGAATTGCCTCCCTGCTTCTCTGTTCCCGTGGTTTTCGGCAAATTCAACAGCGCGCAGCTTGAACTTGGCGTCATAGCATCGCCGACTTTGCTTTCCAAGCGGCGCCATGGTTCGCGAGGTTCTACGGCGCTACCGGCTCTATGCTACGACGCACAACACAACACACGAGAAGCGCGCAGCAACAGCGACACAGCGAGTGCAATGAAGACGTTATGGCGGACGGAAGTGACGGTAAAGGAAGTGGCTCTGAAATCCAAACTTGCTTTTCATAATTTATAATTTAAAAAATACCTCCACATTTTCACCCCTCTGATTATTTTTTTGTGCAAAACTACATAGCTGCGTTACCTTAAAGGTGTTAACTTACCGTTAATCTTACTTTCTTTTTAAATGTGGTTTCTGTGCATCGCAGAAGGCCGCGGAAGAAGGAAAAAGGTAGCGGTACAGTGTACTAGAATAGAGGCAGTGTGCTCACTGCCCTATCCTTGCGGCACTCCGCCGCAGCGCACTCTGTGTCGACTTCCACGATGCCCACCAGGGGCGCTGACGCTTGACGCACCTGAAAAACTTCTCTTGGTTCGTGTTGGCCGTGTTGGCGGACGGGGCTGGTTCGCTCAGTTCAGTTCGATCGGTTCGATTGGATCAACGTGGGTACCCCGTGTGCGTGTTCTGTGCTTTATGCTTGGATCATTGTGTAGTATGCGTTCGTGAAGATGCCTAACCGCCGTCGAAATTACTGTTTTGCGCCCGGTTGTCGAACCGGGTACAGTCGTGTGCAGGATGCACCACAGGCGTCTTTGTTCAGCGTCCCGCGTGATGAAGAACGGCGGAAGGAGTGGGAAAGAAATCTCCACCGTGCAGATAAGAAACTGGATGAGTTTTCTGCGGTCTGCGAACTGCATTTCTAACCGAGGTTCGTTATCAAGGAGTTCGTGCACCATATAGATGGCAAAGAGGTACGCATTCCTCGTGATAAACCGATGCTGTCGGAAAACTCTGTCCTCACGATTCTTCCAAATTTGCCGCAGTACCTCACGAAGAAGATGCCAAAACCGAGAGCTAAAAGGTAGATGTGCGAAAATGACCATGCAGCCGCAAAGAAAAAGAGCCGAAGTGCTCTCGAGACTGACTGTACTGAATTTCCACGGGCTGCTAATGGTGATACAGGAGAGGACTGCGACTTCACACAGGATGACGTTCCAACGGAGCCCGAGCATTGCTTGCGTTTTGTTATTGTTTAAAGACTCCTTCCAAGTAATGGTGCATATCAATGTGTAAATGTCTCGATTTGCCATTATTCAGCTTTTTTTTTACCCTAATATTGCTTGTGTAAATTCTTTCATCACTTATTTGTAAATAAACATTATTTAATCAATTTAAATGGATTTTTATCATTTCTTTTTAATTTGCTACGTCTTTAACTTGATGGATGCACGAAATATGAAAATTCAGAGGCAATGAATGGAATAGACTCTGTCAGTGAAGGACAGGAGCGGGTGTAAATCAATGAAAGAGGTCTCCGTCCTGCAGGACCTAACAGGCTGTTGATAATATTGATGCTACGTCTTGTTTACAGCAATAATCCACGCCACACACCAATCATCACCTAAAGTCTCGAAGCAGCGATGCTAGAATGTGAAACGTCGTGCGTGGTTGTCATGGTGGTTAAAGTTTGAGTTTAGGGCGCGCATTCCTGCAGCAGGCACGTAATCAAGAAAAACCCGGCGTGGAGGCTGTCTAAGGCGTTGGACTCTTCAACCCAAGGACGTGTGTTCGATCTTAGCTGCGGTGGCTGTTCTCCTGACGGAGGAGAAAAACGAAACAAGCCGTGTGTCGGCATTTCGGCTGACGTTAAAAATTCTAAAGGGATCTAAATTAACCTGCAGCCCTCCGCTATGGCGCACCTCATAGCGAAAGTGTGGCTTCGGCCCGTTAAACTCCAAAATATTAATTCTGACATTGCGAAAAAAAAAAGTGCGTAGTGTTTTCCGCACCTCGGAACCGCAGTCGACATGACCGCTGCATTAGCGAAACCACTTTGAACATTTAAACGGCCGGAAAATAATACAATGTCAGTTGCTTCACGCCCTGCACACTGATAAGATGCCCCAAAAGAAGTGTCGTGCATTGCATGTCGCGAACGTGGCATAATTTCTGGCATTTCAACAATTGCGCTGTGGCTCTCTACTTCGGCGCGCAAAGGAGTTTCAGGTGACGCTGCGAACCGCGCCGCCTCTCGGCGTCGACACGAAGTGGGTCACCCACCGCCGCCTGTGAGCACACTGCCTCTATTCTAGTACACTGTAGTCTGTAGGTAGCGGTGAAGCGCCGTAGACGCCATTTTGATAGATAGATGGATGGATGTGGCTGTACCTTTTAGATTGGGCGGCGGCTAGCGCCACCTAGCCGTAATACTTAGTGAACTAATCATTACATTTATCTTTTTTTTTCTTTAAATAATGAAGTTGAGGATTCGTACTTCACAGTGAAGGGTTTAATTTTCACTCGTGCCTTGACTTTAGCCACCAATCAGATAACCTCTGCTTGACGTAAACAGCGCCACCCAAGCCGTGGCATCCAACTCGATTTTGAATGTATATAAGTCGCATCGTTGTATAAGACGCACCCACGAAAAATTCAGAAAAAAACCGCGACTTATACACCGAAAAATACAGTACTCGTTCGAATATTCGAAGCATTCGAACATTTGTACAAGCCTAATTCTGACCCTTCATCCATCTCGATAGTCTCTCTAGAGCACTTGTGCTATGTGTTTGTGCTTTCGTCTTTTTGTGCTTCTACAAGGATGCATGTGTACCAACTAGCACTACTTCCCATCTTACTCAATCATCTGTCCGCGTAGCCTTGGCTGCTACAAAAAAATTGGTTAGGCAGTGCAGCCTTTAAGATAAAAGAAGTGGCCATGTAATTGATGACGGTGATGACAACATGAAAAGACAAGTTTGTGGCCACATGGAAAGTGTAGCATGTGCGCAAACCCATAAGATGTCATCCGCTTGTTATATACTGTCGTGAGTTGATGGTCATAACTGTTTTCCAGTTAATAGAAAATGGGCCAGGCCACCGCTTGCTATTCCTGTTTTCTAGCACTAGCTGGGAAACAGTGATTTGAACAAAACATCATGATATGCACTAAGCGAACCTTTGTAAGAGCCAGAAGTCAGTTTAAAACATTACTTAGGCAACTCTTATGAACGTACTCCTATAAGTCAAGACGCTTTCTCATATAGCAGGCACACTGCGACAGAGGCAAAAATGCTTAAGGTTCATGTGCTTAGATTTAGGTGCTTGTTAAAGAACCCCAGATTGTCGAAATTTCTGTAGTCCTCCCTCACAGCATTTCTCATGACCATTTGGTAGTTTTTTATTAAACCCCATCAATTATTATTATCAATCTGTCATTCGTTCATATTATCATCCTGTGTAAGACAGAAAAGATTGCATGAGTGTTTTTGTTGTAGATAAAACCATCTATCCCATGAACACTGGCTGGTGTAGATTTTTCGCACAAATTTCTTGGGGGCTGTGTATGTTTGCTGAACTCTACTTTGCATATTCAAGGTAATTGCGGGACAATTCCTTTTTTTTTTCTTTGTATCCACTTACAAGAGTACGTATTGTTGCAACTGGATTTTAGAACAAGTCACGTGTTATGCATGCTTCCAGGTCATTTGGCAAATGTTTTTTTTTTCTCCTCCTCTCCAGAACACCCGCACATGCAGCCCAAGCTGCTGGAAGTGAACTGGGCACCGGACTGCCAGCGTGCATGCCAGTTTTACCCAGACTTCTTCAACGACGTGTTTGCCGCCATGTTTCTCGACGAAGCAGACTCCAATCCAAATTTTGTGCCTCTCTGACATGTTGCCCCAACTGTGCTCGTGAGTCCCATCAAGATACCTCACAGACCTGCTCTTTCCTCAGCAGCCAGTGTTGACACAGGAAGGGCTGGCTCACTTCGGACACAATGCTCAACATTTGGGACAGGGAAAAATTATGATAGAGCTAAAAGGAAGACACTGACTATGAAAAAAAAGCGACTAACAAATTTTTGGTATCTTTATTTATGGTTCGTGTTTTACTTTTAATTTTATAAGGTTACCAGGTGGCTTCTGTCAAAGGCTAGACTTTAGGGCGAAATCGTGGCTGTTGTAAGGTGCCCGTCATTGTGACTTGGTGAGAAACTCGTTGCCACCACCATCGCAGGGCGGCTTTTTAGTGTGCTTGTATGAATGCCAATTGGTATGAATACCAATTATCATATGTGCATAGTATAGGGCTGTAACAGCTGTTCAATCTTGGTATACAACTAACACATGCATAATAAATATTTCGATATGACACAGTAAATTTACGATGCCTCTTGGTGATGTCACTTTATTTAAGACATATGTTTAACATCACATGTGGCAACGATGCCTCTTTGTTGGATGTGACCGCATGTGGCAACCCCTGAGAAAGAAGGATGTGGACGTTGATGCAAGGAGCTGTATGACAGATATGCTTACATTAATATTTTAAAAAATATTGGTGTGTTTGAGTTTTCTTTGAATTTAAATAACTGAAATTTCATAGTATTAGAAATGAACGAATAAATGTGTATTAATCTGCATGTAATCTCCTGTCAGAGTGGTTTCACTGCAATTAAGCAGTGCTAAGCTGTGAAAACACTTAAGTTAAGGGAAGTTTGCACTGTCGCGAATTCAAGAAGGGGGAAAAACAGACGACAGTGTGAGCGCTAACTTCCAACTTTTGTTTATTGCGTACCCTTACAACACATTATATAGCTCATTCCACGGCACGCCACACACGACAAAACCGTACATGTGTGGCACAGCACACTATCAAGGAAAGCTGCTTGTAATCTGATTTGAAATTAACGATTCTATATCAATACTTCCCAGCACGCGCTCCAGAAAATTGAGCTCTTTTTGAGATAAGGCCACAGACGGCATACTCACACTCAGCTTCGCAGATTTTGTGATAGCTTTCGCCTCAATCATTTTCCGTGTCAACTGGTTACGGCTGCGGCCCAAGATGACACACTGATCAAGGAATGTAGTGCATCAACACGTCTTACAATGCATAGCCAGAAAACCACCAGAAGAAATCTTGTTTTTTACATTTCAAGAGTTCTCGCTCAAGCGGTCATTAACACACCTACCAGTCTACCTAATGTAAACCGCGCCACATGACAGCAGGAACATGTACACAACAGCTAGGGTGCATTCAACAAACTTAGTTACATGAAGCAATACATTTTTGCAGGCTAGTTGGTTCATACTTTAAAAATAAATTGCTGCACAAACTTGAAAGAAAACAAGGGAGAACTGCACATGCGCAGTTTAGATTGTGGTGGGTATCACTTTTGTATTTTGCCATTTTATCACTTTTGTCATTGTGGTGGCAGTCAATTTTCATTTTATTTGTTTTGAAACAGCTTTGTTTGCGGCATCTTTGGTTTTGTGCGCATCGTGGAAGGGCAGCGTAGCATGCGTACATAGTGGCTTCAAGAAACGACAATAAACAGTTGGTACTGCGCTCTTTCCTGTCTCCCTTGTTTTCTTTCAAGTTTGTGCAGCAATTCAATTTTTTAGTTACATGCTTCTTTCCACAGGTGGGTTGCACCTCCTTCTTGGGGTTCGTAAGCTTGCATAGGTGGCTTAGTTTGTCTGGAGCAGAGAACACCAGGCGGACATTTTCTCTCAGAGCTATCTGTTTTTTCCCCTTCTTGACTTCATAGTATCTTTCCTTCACGCTCAAACTGAGCTGCACTAAAGCAATATCATTTTATCATGCACCAACTCGCCCAGTCAGCAGTACTTGCCGCGAAGTCCCTAATCATGGTTAAATTAACATATTGTCCTCACCTCGGTTCATCGTATTCCAATTTATAAGCACTTAGGAAGTTTTAAAATGTAACGTACTTTTACAGGCTATCACTTGCATTCTACCGAAAGTCAAACCCTGCAACAATCCAAATTGTTCCCGCTTTCTTTAAATAAAAAAAGATGGCATTTGCGCAAACCTTCTTTCAACTATAAAAAATATTGTACAAGTTAGTTGAGTCATGACAAATACATCCACATTTCTTTTTAATTGCACTAGCCTAACTACAGACTAAGTGTCAAAGGAGCTTGATGGAAGTTGTTCTTTTATTGCTAGTAGCCAGGAAGACTATGATTGCACGACTTCACACATCAGAGTACACTGTCGTTCTTCAGGAGCGAGCGCATGGCACATGCTTAGGGTGCTGGCAGATGACGAAGAGAGAGCGCAACGGCCAAACAGTGCGTTGGAATGTATAGGCCCACCATAAGGATTAACACATTGCCTCAGGTTTAGCTGCGGTCGTGATGTAAGGCGCTTGGCCGGAATTATTCCATCGCAACCAATGTATGCAGCACGCTGAGAGGTGGACTTGACCTTTTAGTACTGTAAGCTCATTCAAAAAGGGGTGTCGCCAGAGCTCGGAAAAATGCCGAGTTTTGCCTGCATTCTGCATAGTGCCCCAAATATCCTAAGAATTAGGCCTTTCTTGTGGCAAAAAGCCAAATTCTTTGCCTTGCAAGTTTACACGATGATATGGCTCACCGGTGCATTAATCCTGTCATTCGGAGGCCAGAAGGAAGGATAGTATAAGGAGGAGCCCAATGTAGAAGAATTATAGTTGATCAAGTTGTCTTGAGGGGCCTGTTGGCTTATTGCAAGCAGAAAAAATTGCCCTAAAATAGAAGAGGAAACCACGGAGAAGGAACACTGGACAGATTTAGTGCAAACTACCAAGTGTTTTTATTGACTCTAGAGCGCCGTTTAAATAGGCAAACTGAACATAGCTGTGCAGATGCACCCATCACGTGCTAACGCACCTTATGCGTTGAAAAAAACACTCCTGCACCGTAAAGCGATGTCGAAGCCTCACTCACGCAGCTGTCACTTTTCATCTTGATGAAGACCGCTTCCAAAACATGTGTATTTGCTATGCCACAGTATCCTAGTCTGGTGCAATCTGCTGTATCATCATCATCAGCCTGACTACACCCACTGCAGGAGAAATGCCTCTTCGATGTTCCGCCAATCGGTCTTGTGCTTACTGCTGCTACTTGATACCCGCACACATCCTAATCTCATCTGCCCACCTAACTTTCTGTCGCCCCCTCAACCGCTTGCCTTCTCTGGGAATTCAGTCAGTTACCCTTAATGACCAACGGCTATCCTGCCTATGCGCTACATGCCTGGCCCCATGTCCCTTTCTTCTTCTTCATTTCAACTATTATATCTTTAACCCTGGTTTGTTTTCTGACCCATTCTGCTCTCTTCTTGTTTCTTAAGGTTACACCCATCATTTTCCTTTCTATTGCTCCCTGTGTCATCCTCAGTTTAAGTTGAACCCTCTCTTTTTAAGCCTCAAGGTTTCTGCTCCATAGGTAAGTACCGGCAAGATGCAGCTGTTATATACCTTCCTCTCGAGAGATAGTAAATCATCTGCATAAAATGAACCAACTAGTCCCTCAAGACGTCCTGATAAACCTATGAACCCACAATGCACTACGCTAGACTCTGCCACCGGATCGTGGAAGCTGTGCGTTCATTGGTTCATACGTAATTTTGTCAGAAAACATTGCACCCAGGACTCTGCTGCAGACTCAACTGAACAAATGTTCAGTGTTAGCTGAGACGATAGACGTGAAGCTCCGGAGTTTTAACACGTAGCGCCACCTGTCGGTGCACTTTTGGGTAGTGCAAAGCCTGACTCCCTTGCACAGTTTGCTGCTCAACCAGGTGCAACCAGCATGTGCGAAATAACGATTGAGCTAATAAATATTAGATGGGTTTACGCATTGAACACTCGCAAAAAAGCTACAAATTTATCTCCACTAGTCAGATGCATCACCAAACGGCCATGAATTTCTTGCTGGATCTCTTGCGAGAACGACGGCGAAAACAAAGGCAGATGCTATAGCTCCACGCTCTAAGAAGAAAGACTTCAGTCAACACTACTGTTGCATTGTGAATTTAGGACGGACATAAAGGGACCTCAGCTTAACCAATTTCGGCGGATGAAAATTTGTAAGTTGGAATCCAACTGGTTTCAAATGGTTCCAGTTCAACAGGTTTAAGGAACAATTTGCAATTGGCTTGTCAATTGGTTGTCAACGGAAACTAGTTGGGAATCCATTACCAATTAGGAAAACATTCCCAGTTGGGAATAGGCCCCATTTCTCATTGGTGATGTTGTGATTGGCCCAGGTGTCTTGGCACAGCTTGGAAGGATTTTGACTTTGCCGCGTTTCCTGAGGGTCTGGAAAGGGACAGCACAGCGAATTCTTTAGGTCTGTCGGCTCACCGCAGGCCCTTTGGCCCCACACGGCCAACGGATTACCTGGAAAGGGCTGTTTTGCTGTCTGGGCTGCCTAGATAGACTCGTCCCCTCTGCATTGCTGGAATCGTAGGAATGCACCTGACAATGAGCCGAGTGGCGGAGAACCATCTTCGGTGGCGTTTCTCACATTCTAAGGGCCTTTGGAGTATTCATTCCTTGTGCACCACGGCATGCCCCGTAGCAATGCTTCCTTCATAAGTCACCCTTGAACCTGGCCAACCGGTTGTGTCAACTCTACTCATGGGGGTTTCACGTCAACCCACCGTGCCAGATGTGCTGCGCTGGTCACCTGGCGTATTATTTGTACTGCCCCCTCCCTGTACGATGAACTGTGCGTGCCTCTCCCCCTTTACTTGAAGGGTTTGTGACTTTGCCTCTTCATGAGAGCAGTGAAAGACGACGATCCCATTGAAGGGTCCTGGACTCTATTGTCTTCCCTCGCAGGGAATCTTGGGAAGACGGAGGATATAAAACGTGGGTGCAAAGATGCTCGAGTGTGCTTTTTCCTTTCTGTAATGTACCATACTACTTTAATCATTTAAATGCTGTAAATAAATGTTTCAGTTTTCAGTTCCTCCTCCTCGGTTCGTCTTCGCTTTGACCCATGGATGGCTCCTAGTCCCGACAAAGTCCCGCTGTCGCAACAGTGCCCAAATGTACACACAGTCCAGGGAGCTCAAATAATAATGATCACTTTGCAATCTGTTTTTAGCTCATTGCTGATAAATTACCTTGGCCCTTTGCAACACTGCTAGTTCCAGATACATGCAAAAGAATAGAAAACATCATTACACCTCGGGCAATATGGTAATGTGTGATTTATGCAGATTATGCTAACATTGTTATTGCCCCAAAATAATATGCTCAAAGCAAAACGGAGAGCTGAGCGAGTTGGTACTGATATTCAATGTGGCGTAAAATTAGCGCAAAAAAAGGCAAGGACAAGAAAGTGAACAGCACAGGTGCTTGCTCACAACTGAAAGCTTTATTGCTGGAAAAGAAAATATATAACATCTAAAATTGACACTCAACTAAATCGCACGCATGCACATCGTGGGTGAGACAAAAGGCACCAACTAAAACAAGAACACACCTCCTTTGATTCCCCCTCCCCCAACATTCTGCTTCCTTTCCTTGAGTAGTATCACTTCCGATAAGGCCAAAGAAGGATTACTAACGCACATAGAAGCCCTTGTGAAACCTCGGAAAGTTCTCTTGTCATGCAATCGTGGTG